CTCTCTCTCTTTTTCAATTAAACAAATCAGAAAATTCGACAAATTTAAATTTTTTTAATTCAAACAAAATCAATGCCCAGTAATAATAGGAAAAATAAAAATAGACGAAGAAAAAAAAAAATAGTTCAGAAATCTATTGAATTTTAATTTTTTAAACTTTTTTTTCCTGCATTAGTTATTTGAATTCATATATTATTATTATTATAGTTGTACCAGTACAACCAGTAAAACCTATGGTTACAACTATTTCGGTAGCAATGAAAACACCTACTATTACTACCACTACTCTACCAATTAAAAGAAGAGAATCATTCAGTGATACTAGACCACAATTATTTCATGTTTTAGAATGATTCGACCTTAAAATGTGTGAAATAAAAAAGTATTGAAGGATATAATTCATAATATTAATTAATTAATCAAACAATTCTTATTCTATTAAATTTAAGAAATAATTCATAAATTTAATTCCAAACATAAAAAAAAAGTTCATTTTTTGATTTGTATAAATTGAAGTATATGTAAATATTATTCGTTGTATTTACCATATTTGATTTCCAGTTATTAATTTATATTTTAAATTGGTGCATATATAATTTCCCCTGATCATATTTATTGTATGTTCATGTTAATTGAAACGTTAAATTTTCAGAAAAAAAAAGAAAAGAAAAAGAAATCATTCAATAAAAGGAAATGAAAATGTTATATAATTTACAACATTGTTGTAAATAAAATTAACCTAAAATTATTGATAAAATGATTTGTTTAATGGAATGCAACAAAAAAAAAAAAAAAAATGTAAAATAAATTTGGAAGAGTCATGCAATTTACGCAAAATGACAATAAGTATCGGTACAAATAATAGTAGAAATGATAGTAGAAATGTAGTAGAAATAGTAGAAATGATAGTAGAAATGATATTACAATAAGATAATTTATTAATTCAACAATATTAGCTTCCTTATCAATGAAATAAATGTCAACAAATAACTATTCCCAAGTTTGTTTAGGATAAATAGAGAATAAGAGACGGGAAATCGAACCACAGAAAGATTTAGACGGAAAACGAAATCACAGATTTAGTTAAAAAATGGAATCACAGAACGATTTAAACCAAAAATAGAATCACAGAAAGATTCAGATAAAAAATGGAATCATAGAAAGATTCAAACCAGAAATAGAATCACAGAAAGATTGAGATAAAAGATGAAATCATAGAATGATTCAGACGAATAATTTATAAGCTAATGCATAATTTGCATTGTAATTAAAAGAGGAAGGAATAAACAGTAGTATTGTATTTAGTTAACGATATTTCAAAATTGGATTTCATATGACAATAAATTAAATGGAAGAGACAGTTAGCTGGTGAAAAGTATCTTTCGAAATTGCTCAGGCCATTAGCTCGTGAAAAGTATTTGTCAAAAAGCTTAAGTCGCATAAATGGACCGCGTCAACGCTACTATCGTTGAATGAAAGTTACTGAGAAATTGGAATATTTTTTTAATATTTTTGAAATTTATTATATATATATATATATACTTTCTTTTTTTGTATGTAAATATCAGCGATTGAAAGAAAAAGAGGAATGATTAATTGTAAGTTTTGTGGATTT